TCATATTGGGGTCACTTCTGAAACACTTGGTCAAACTTCAGTTGAAAGGAAAAGCAGACTGTTTTGTTTCCAGCTCAGGCATTTCCTTTACTTGAAATGGAACTTTGAGAGCCTTCATTAGCAATAAAATAGGGTGCAAGCTGACATGTGGATTCACTAGTGTTCTCTTACAGTGGTTCAGAGCTTGGCCTGTTTTCTTGCACCACATACAGAGAAATCCACCTCCCCTCAAATGCTCACAGGCTTTGTTTTTTACAGAAATGCTGGCCTATCCAGTGACACAAGACCTTGAAGATGCATGTGTGTGTGTGCCACTCAAGTCAACAGAGCTGTTTCCGTGCCCAAAGTAGAGCACATTGACTGCTTGGGCCAGGCTATTGACAGAGCTGAAATAAGCAAGCATTTCTGCATTTATTTTTTGTGCTGAGGACAAAGAAAACATCAGAAATGTTTGTTCAACTGAATTGACATACACCAACCCCAGAAAGAACTTGCATTTTGCCTGGGTTGAATTTATTTCCGGCTTTCCTATTGCACTCACGGAAGGACAACACATCCCAGTCTGAGCGCTCATAGGCACGCAGCTTTAACAGTTCCACTGATGGGTTATCTGCACAGCTGACAGAGATATTGATGAGGAAAAAAAAAGCCGTTTGGAATAGTGACATCTGAAACAACTGGTTTTAAAACAGGTAGAAATATAGCTATTGATTGATGGGATTATTCTGGCCTTTACACAATTTTGCTTTCTTAGCTCAGCAAGACAATGGTGAAGTTTTCAGAAAGGAAAAAAGAAAAGCAGCAGGGGGTGATTGAATATCTTTTGGAGAAAACTACAGGGTATAGGAAGCCAGAGTACTTTTCTTATTACTTCTCAACCATCCGAATCTGATACTGAGAACACTGATTTTGGGGTAAGGTGTAAGAGGTGCCATTGTTCAGAGCCTGTCTGGGAAAAGTGTCTGCTGTGCTGAGACTAGGAGATGGGTAGGTCAGATCTGCAGGCTGAGGAACGTGGGAATTAAAAATGCCTTGTGGTGTTAGTAAATGCTGAGAAATCAGTACTAGGATTTGTTCCAGAATCAAGCCAACAGCCACATGCCAGTCACAGAGGCTTCACCTCTGTGTCTTTTCTTCAGGCCTCTGATTATCTGCCTCCATCCATGCCCACACGGCATTATGGCAAACCTCTGCATCAGGAGGAATTTTAGCGAGACAGCTTACTTTAGTTTTTCCAATGTAGCTGAAGAACAAATTTCTGCCTCTGTTTTCCCTTAGTCAGCTGGTCGGGGCAAAAGCAAACAAATTTACTGACTAGAGAGCTGTGATTCAGTCTGTGTATTGAGTGTACCAGTTACCAGGCATGGCCCGACAGGCCTGGCAGTCCCACTCCACCTGCTGAACCAGGCAGCCGTGTGGAGATGTTAAGCAGTTACGTGCTGCTGATGCTCACGTTGATAAGAACAAAAAGTCTCTGAACAGATCCCTCCCGAGCAAAAGAAAAACCCCGTGACTTTATCATAAACAACTCATCAGCTGCAGCAGCTAGGGATGTGAGCATGGAAATTTGGAATGGAAATGGCCTTTCAGAATAATGTCAGCAAGCGTTCCCATGAAAAGCTGCATTTCAGCAGCAGCAGAGCTGGAAAACGTTGTCTTGCAGAGGCTGCAGCCCTGCCGGTTCTGCTGCGCGTGAACGCGATGGTTATCATTGGCCCAGGCTGTTACTTGTGAGGCGGGAGTGCGGCAGAGCTCCGCGAGAGCACGAAGAACGCTGTGGGACCGCGCGGCTCTGAGTGCAGCGAGGGGAAGCGCTGGTGGGGCAGCCGCGGACTTGGCGCGATTTTCCGTGCGCTCTGCTATTCCCGATGTTTGGAGCGCGCTGCCCGGGAGGCGCTGTGTAGGAAGGAAGGGGCGGTGGGTGCGGCCGCCCAGCAGGGCGCCGGCGGGAAGCGGGCGGCGGAGCCGCTCCGCCATGGCCGGTGGCACAGCGCCCTCTGGCGGCCGCTGCGTGCAGGCGCTGTGCGTGTCGGCGCCGTTCCGCCGCCTTCAGGCTCTGGGCAGCCCGTGCCGGTGCCTCACCACCCCCTCTGTAAAAGGCTTCTTCCTCATATCCAACATAAATCTCCCTTCTTTAGGCTTGAAGCTATTTCCCCTTGTTCTACCACCACAGACCCTGCTAAAGGGTCTGTCCCCTTCTTTCCCTCTCGTTCATATAATGCAAGGCTGCTATCAGAATCATTGGAGGCTTTATTTGCCTGGTGAGTCTGGAGTCTTTTGGAAATGCCTCGGAGACTCTGAAAGCTGATGAGATAGCCTGTGGTAACCAGAAGCCTCCAAACCAGCATATTAATGTCAGTCTGTTGTTCCAAGGTCTGATTTCTAATAGGTGCTGACAACGTAATGAAGGAACCTTTCAATTCCACAGACATGGAAGCAAGGCTCCCACTTCTGCAATGCTCCGCACATCTCAGCTGCAACACGTGAGAGGAACCCGAAGGAATACAGCTTAGATTAATTACTCCTGTCATAATTAGGAGCCACAAACAGGACAGGAGGTGCGGTAGAAAGGAAAGCAGTAGCAGAGGCAAAGCCTGCTGTCTGAGCTGTACGTCTGTGGCAGCGTGGAGCAGCTAAGCCCTGCACAGCAGATTTAGCTCACTGCCTTGCTCTGGTGGGCAGGGTGAATGTAATGCAGCGTGCTTATGCTGGGGAATACATCAGATGCAAGCAAGCACCAGTGAAATTAGAAAAGCCAGCGCAGCAAGCTGGGGAGAAAAGCAAGACACACTCCTCTGTCAGCCGACTGGCTGAAACAGCAGTTCTGTTTTCATTCCCAGATTAGTGGCTAACAAAACACTGCTTCTCAGGCAATAAGAGCAAAATGTGCAGAAAGAAAGGGTGGTGCTTCAAGTGTGCTGTGGTCCAACAAGCACAAGTTCAGTTCCCATTCTGCTTTTAGGTAGCGGATTTACTGTGGTCATGTAATTTCTTTGCCTACACAAACATATTGATTGTGCCCAACTCCACTAAAAGCAATTTATAAACAGAAAATACCAATAGAGCAAACAGTAGCATTTTGCCCACAGCAACATCTGTGCTTCAAGCTGCTTATTTCCATACTAAACAGCACAAATCTGTTGATTTGATAACGGTGTCAAATGGTAAATCTGGATCAGCTCTGCATATATCCAAGATTAAGCATTTCTGAGGCAAAGCCTTCAACTCCATTAAAAAAGAAATAGGCCTTAATTCTAATCTCAGTATAGTGGAGTTAGTGCACTTACTTGGTCGCTGTGCAGATATCGCATCATCTTTATTGAGTGGTGAGTGCAAAGGTTCATCAGCCTGAGCTCAGCTCCAACAGCTTTCCAGCTGCATTTTGCTACCATTTTGCTGGCCTTTGTAACTCAGGCCTTCAGGAGAGACTGGAGGGGCATGGAATGAATCGCAGCGCTGTTTTCTGACCACCTTGCAATGGAGATATCCTGTAAGCTGACTACGGAAAGGAAACATGCACTCATCCACAAACTACCTATGTGAGAACTGTTGGAATAATCAGACATAAGGACAAGACACACTTAAATATGAATTTTATTGCTAATGATATTTTGCTAAAAATTAGAAAGGATGTATAGGAAAAGCAGCATTTATGGTAGTGTGCAAAAACAAGAATGATCTAGAGTAGGGGGGAAAAGCACTTCCTGCATGCTACCCTCCATGACATATACATATATCTTGGCCATATCATGAGGAGGAAGGGACACAGACACATTTGATGAAAGCAGCTGTGTATTCTTGCCTTCATTCAACTTGCTCGACTGGTTGAATCTTCACGTATTGAATTGTTATTCCTAAGCCCTTACCCTCTCACAGAGGCTAGCTCCTCCGACCCTCTCCTTTAAGCAGCACAAGCTGATATGTTTCCACATGTCACTAAGAATCTTGCAGGCAGCCCTGCTTCAGTTCTTTAAGATGGTTTGGCATACAAGAGGGCGGAGAGCTTCCAATTCATTCTCAAAAAGCTTGGCTGCATCCATGGCTTTTGAGTCTCTATGTGAATGTGTAGACTCTGTGAGCCCTGCCCTGTAATTCTGAACAGACTTTAACTGCTATGGAACAGATTGTGTCATTAACAGATAGTATGCATTATGAAGAAGAGTGCCACTGCAGTGGAGGTGGGGTTCTCATGGCTGTAAGAGGTGTTAGGCCCCAGCTAGGAAGGTACATGCCTGGTGCTCTACAGGTGAAACTGGCATTGCTGCATCATGAAGCTGAAAAAAGCACATGTTGAGGACTATAACTGTGATCTGTTCTGAAAATGAACGATTTGTATTTTCTTTGCACTGAGAAATTCATAATTCTTTCATAAAGCTGTATCTTTAATGGAAACTTGATTCAGATTGAACGTTAAAAGTAGATCATTTCTTCCTTTGATTTTAAACCCAAGAGTCGTAGAATAGAATGACAGACTCACCAAGGTTGGAAAAGACCACCAAGTCTGTCCAGTCCAACCATACACCTACTATCAATAGTTAAACCATGTCCCTTAGTACCACATTACACACCACCTCCAGGGATGGTGACACAACCACCTCCCTGGGCAGCCCATTCCAGCACCTGACCACTCTTACAGAGAATAAATCTTTTCTAATATCCAACCTGAACCTGCCCTGGTGCAACCCGAGGCCATTCCCTCTCATCCTATCACTATGAGAAGAGGCCGACCCCCACCTCACCACAGCCTCCTTTCAGGGAGTTGTAGGGAGCAATAAGGTTTCCCCCGAGCCTCTTCTTCTCCAGACCAGTATGTTTGTCTTAAATACTTCACTTGAAGAAGCTAGGCTCTCAGATACAGTTAGCTCTTGAAAACACAATATACATGTTCTCCTGCTGTGCACAACAGCAGTTTTTTCTTAAAAACAAAACAAAAGGAAAAATAACCCTCTGAACTTACTAGCTAATTCACTTTGTGCTGTTCTTTAACAATCACTATGAAATTCAAAAGGAATCAGAATTATGTTTATTTCCTTCCCATCTTACAAGCTAAATATCACAGGAGGAGATGGAAGCATTCTGCATCTAGTTATATAGAAGCACAACTAGGCAGCAGTGTAGACATATAATCAATGATCTCAAGGCTTAAAAGTTGTAGAAATGTTTCTTTGCCAAAGTTCCAGGCAGTCACCACCTCCTTCTGAGCTCAAAGGTACAAGGCCTCTGTGAGAACTTAAGCAGAGCACCATTCATTCCTTTCGTGTTTATCAGTAGGAAGCTTCTGCTTTAGTTCCTTTTTTGAACCTGCAGCAAGTGAAGCCCTTTTAGGGCACAGCATCAGCAGAACATACGCATCTTTTATTCACCTCTGAAAGGACACTGATATAGGGCTCCATGCCAGCATTTCTAGAAAATTCACATTCCCTGGATTAGGCTCACTTTTAGTAATATAGCCAAGATAACATGTCTGTTTCCTTCCCATTATTTCAGTCTGTTGGAGATGGTCCTAAGAGTCAGGAGAACTTAATGCTTCTGCCTGGCTGCTATCCACATTCTTGTCCAAGACCTCTATTGTTTAAATATGTAGGATACAGCCACAACGACTTTTGGATGGAATGAAAAAGGTCAGAGCTTGATCGATAAATTTACGCGGGTACAAATTTTCATTTATTTTCATCTTTCATGACATACCTGAAAGCCTCCGAACCTGAAAGGAATGAATCTCCTTCTGAGTGAAAGCATATAAAGAAGCCTTAACATTAAAACAGTATGATCACAGGAAGCTGAAAGTGGAAGTATAAAAATAAGACCTCTTACTATAAAGAACTCATCTTGGGCACCCTGCCTCTTTTACCTGATTAAGGAAGCCACGTGCACTTCTTCTCAGCTTTCCTTCCTCTGCCAAGCACAGCTCAGCATGGATTACAGCAGGATAATGAACCAGGCCACAACACACACAACAGCTGCCCTCTGGGTTACAGCCCATAGCACAGCAGCTTGCAGGAGCACGTTGTGTAAGGAACCAGACATAAAAGCAGAGCCAGCCAGGTTCCCTGGAGTGTTTTCCCTAACTCATGAAAGGGAAGAAGAAGCCTGTGAGAGGTGAGGGGGAAGTGTGCATGGAATAAACCCAGTCTCAGCTGTGCTTGAACCTAGTTGCAGGTAATGAACGTGGGTCAGGACATCTTGGAGGCTGAGAAGAGGCAGACACTACCCCAGCCATAGCAAGGCAGCTGATTTCAAAGTTCCTGTCTGCAAGGTCTGCTAGTGCTGTTTGTGTCTCTTGGCTAATACTGCATGCAGAGGGATTCTGACAAAGTTGTTCAAGTTCGTTCTCCTGCAGACTCTGCAGAGCAGCAGCAGTCATTAAGAGCAGAGATACCAACAATGGCCTCTTCCTCTGCAGCACAGTTGGTTACAGTGTCTGAGGAGTCTGACTTCTACAGAAAAAAAAAAAAAGATCCCTTGCAAAGGTAAGGATCCTTTACTTTCCCCTGATTGGAGGAACTGGAACAACAAATATTGGTCTTCCTTGCCACTGGTCATTCACGTTTCTGGGATAGTAAGAAAAGACCACTGCTGCTTCTCAGCCATTCACTTCATACGTGTTCAGACAACTCTGCCTAGATGGTGAGAGAGACAGGCAGAGGATTCTATCTAAGGAAATGCATTACAGTCTGCAGACAAGCTTAAAAACCACAAGTCCTTAAGCATGGCAGACTGCCTAATGCCAAGGGGTTTCTGCTGAGCTGTATGTTTGTCCAGGGGATGTTTAGTAACCAGCAGTATATGTATGCTAACTCAGGTCTTCTATAAACCTTCTATTTTAACTGGATTTTAGACCTCCCCAAAAAACCCAACGCCTTTCTTTCCACTGGTGTTTATGTTAGCAGTATGTTCACAAGGTTACTGCTGACTCTGACCATGTTACACTGGTGCTCATATTGATCCTCACCCCTACAGAACCTACTGTGTCAGAAAAGATCGAAGAGCAGCACATGCCTTTTCCAACCAACTGGTGCCTTTAAACTCTCCTTTGGACAGTTAAGAATCAGTTATTAAGATGTCACTACTAGAAAATAACTATTGCATTTTTGAAAGTTCAACAGTAAACAACATTGCCAGTATATTATTGCACACAATAAAGGTTTTGGAACTACAAAGATAAGGAATGAGTAGTCTAGAAGACCCAGAATAATGATCCCAGAGCCATTCCAGTTGCTGCTCCAGCAAGCATGCCCAGTGCAAGATCTCCATCACTGTCACGGTAACGCTCTCGAATGATGACGTGGTTTGCAGGGGGTTGGCCATATGGTCCTAGGCAGTAAGAGATTATTAGAAGGAGGGCAGAAGGAATGTAGATCATAATACCATGCATTTGGATTTCAAAACATGTCCATTCCTTCCCTCTCTTCCTTCTGTTGAACGCTATGATGACATCAGCTAGAAAGGTGGAATGCACAGAATCACAAAATCACAGAAACATCCCTGTTTTGGGTTCAGCCTCCATAATTACAGAAAAATTACAGGAAGCCAGCAAGACTCCTAGCCTTATAAAAAGTTAACATCCCAGAGAAAAGCTCATAGCAAATGTAAAGCTGAACACAGTCTGCATCTGTATTTGCAAAGAATCTATGAATGACTTGCATCATTCCATCAGGATTGGTGGCTTAATGTAAGACATGGGTCTAAAAATTTAGTCAACCTTGAAATTAACACAAATAGTGAAGTCCTTCAGTAGCTTTTAAGCCAGTGGTTTGCCAGAAAATGTCTATCAGTTATTTGCTCTAATTGCTCCTTAATACTTCAGCCTTCGCATCAGGCACTGATCTGTGGCACGGTGACAGCTGCCACATGCCTTTTCAGATGAAGACTGGCCCAGCAGTGAAGAATTAACCTAAGACTATTAAAAACCAGCAATTAACCCCTGCTCTGCAACAGAGTTGTGCAAACACTGCAGAACTCTGTGTGTGTTTGTGTGATCTGTTCCTTAGGTCTTCACTAACTTCGATGAGGAAAGCTGTAGAATCTTTCAGCTGGTGCACCTCTCTTGTCACAAAAAAAAAAATGGAAAAGGCAAATGAAGTAACCTGTCAAATGGTTAAAAAATCCCCCTCAAAAATGAAAAAGAAAAAAAAAAAAGAGCCAGAGCATACAGACTTAGTAATTATCCATGCTAGACTAAGCCCCTGATTCTGTAGGACAGGTTCAATATGCAAAGATAAATCTAAATTGAGGTAACTAAGCTAACAGCATACTGTAAACCTTTGTCTCTTTCCTCTTTTACTGAGATTGAGAGCTATAGAAGACTGCAAAGCTAAATATACTCATTTACAGCAACCCCAGCAAACAGAAAATGCCCTGAGAACAAAGCTACCTTTGGAACGCCTTCATTTAATTCTGAGGTCATAGCTGGAGATAAGTGTTGGTAAAAATTAAGCCACTGCTGAAATAAGATGAATCAAAATTTCCATCTCACCCAATAGAGTACTAAGTTAATTTTGCTCTAACTTTCTTATGTTTCCTTACAAAATGTGCTGACTATTGCAGTTAAAGACTTCTGTGTGCTTTGAAAAGAGTTTGTAAAGCAACTTACATATACTGGAATCACAGCTGGGGCATTAGATCACTTAATACAAATTTCACTGAGCTCAATTTGTTGTGAAAGGGTGAGGGGGCTTTGGTTCCAGTTAGAAGTCAGGTTTCTTTCCATCACTGTTGTACAGGAGCAGCAGATGGTAAAGGAACTTGAAAACGTGGTACCTGAACCCAACCCCCAGTGTCAATTACTCAGGTTTCTCCAACATGGAGAATATGGTTGATAGTGATTACCGTGGTATGGATACTGGTAGGCTTGTCCAGTGGAGGCATAGAAGACGTGAGGACCCACAGTGGGATATGCACCATGGTACTGACCATAGCCATAGACCTGGTGAAGTTAAAAAACATGTCCGTTACAAAAGTATTCTTTGCCATGTTTCCAATTCTGCACTTTGTTCTCAATTCTCCCTCATTTCTAACGCAGTTCGATGTTCATTGAAATATCCAGTCTGCACTGACTTAGAATCCTGGAAAGGATTCAGAACAAACACTTGAAAAATAAATGCTCCTAAGCAGGAATCACTTCCCATCCTTCCTGGGTGGTGAGCATTAGAGGCAGGGCCTGGCTTGTCAGGCCAAGCCACAGCCCAATGCTAGCCCTAATACAGCTCTCAGTAACCACAGTAAGGGGCTGCAGCAGAGCACAAGCGGTGCAACAAACAGTACCATCCCAAACTGCACCTTTGTGCATCACTGCACAAGTCAGAACATCCAGAAATCAGCAATGCATACTGCTTCAGCCCTCATTCTGTTCCTCCTCCAGTGCAGAACAACTGCACCCAGGAGCTAGAGTCACTTTGTTGCTATGACATCCTGTATACCACAGAACTTGTATGTGTTCAAAGTGACAGCTCCAGTCATTAAGTTCTATTTTTAAAACTCCTGATTTTTACACCCTTTCAGTGCTCACACAATGGGCTGCATGACCAAGATTTTTCAAGATTAACCAAATGACTCCTTCCCTCTCTTTAAGAAGCTTTATTTTCTAAGTTCACTGAGCACCCACCCCTTAACAGATCTCCTAGCCAAATCTGCCCTATCCCTTTCCAGGGAGATCCACTCAAGTAGGAGTGAGGATGTCCTGTTAGTGCCTCATTTTCATCTGTACAAACCTTAAAGCTGGATGTGTCTGTGAAGCACAGCACAGCACTTTGGGGTGCTTGAAGGATGCTTGCTTCTGCTACCTCACTTGTTTTAATGCTGCCCAAGTGCAGTTCTTACCTCAGGTGATGGGGTAGCATAAGCTGTATAGGGAGGAGGGGCTGAGGAAATTGCTGTCTCATCATACATCACATCAGATCCCACGTAGCCCTGAATGCCATGGAAAGATAGCAGTCAACACCTTTTTGTGCAGACAGACAATTCGAGGAGGAAGGAGATTAAAACTTAATGACCCCCAAAGTAACTGCAGAGATCTGCTGCATGTTAAGAAAGCAGAGGGTGCCTCGTAAAGACACACAGCAAGAAACTACTCGGAGAGCAGACAGACTGAGAGGCCACAAATGCATCATCATCACTGTCGGGAGCCACACAATTTCTTACTTGTGTGCATGTGTACAAAGCAAGCCTGTATCTCCTATCCATATATGTGCACAAGCACACTGATTCCTTCCCTCTTTTCATAATCTCAGTTTTAGAAGTTACCATCATGTTCACTGTTAGTTTTCAAGTTACAAACAAGTGTTCACAATCAAGTTTGCTGCTTCCTGGCACCCTAGTGTAATGGTGTCAGCAAGAGCAGATAAAAGAAACAAATGTGGCAGCCAACAGTAGCACCTGCACATTTTAGCACAACTTGTTAGCTACCTGTCACCTTCTGGCCATGAGGAGAATGAAGAAAAAAAAAAAAAGCAGATATATGGGTTCAAATCCAGAGGTTTGAGGGCTGTTTTTTAAGAATTTACCTTTCCAATGCTACATGTAATTTTGGCCCTTTTTGAAGGCAGCCTCGAAACAAAGGTGATAATTTACCTGAATCCATCTTCAAGGAGCTCTCTACAGATGATTATGTAAAGATGTGTTCTTGCACCTGATACCAGAAGTTTACAGTGATGCTCTCTGTGACTTATCCCAAGAAAGAAACAGCTCTGTTTTTTGAGTGTACAAATATATGCTTTAATAGCTCCTATCAGCTCTTCTAACTGGACTACAGAAAGACTTTTGATGGTGTATTATGGACGTATCCTAAAGGAAACTTGTGACAAAAATTCTGAGAATTGTTTGAAGTGCACTGTTGAAAGCACTGTATGAAGAGGCGGATATTTCCACTGCCTGAGATGAAGCTCTGTGAGTGCTCACATCTCAACAGTAAATGCATTCTGTTTTGCTGCAGGAAACTCTATAGAGGCATGGGACTTAAGTCTGCAGATGTCTTTAAGTGACATGGTTCTCAAAGCTAGGATGATCATCTGGTCATTCCAGTGAAGTTTTGAGGCACTGCTTGAGGCTCTGTGTTTTTGAAAGCTGTATCAGACACCTGCAGATGGACTAAAATCCAATTCCCTGGCCAAGTTCAAGTCCAGGTGGAGAGCTGTAACAGCTCTGGAAAGTACTAATTTCATACATATCTTGTGCAGACAGCTATCTGCCCTACATTCAGTGGCAGGGGTCTGCCTTGGCTGAAGAAGTTGAGGCACTGGCAGGTTTTGAATGCCACCTGGCATTGCATCGGGGACATGAAAAACAAAAGCTCCTGAAACCAGGAGTCACTGTCTCACATATAACAAGTTAAATCCACTGAAACTAGAGCACACAGATTATGAGTACTGTGTCCTCTGCATGAGGAAAGTTACTTAACTTCTCATTTAACAAAATGAGTGTAGCTGCACTCAGGCAATTAAGTCCAGAATAGTTTTGCAATGACAAGTGTTTGCTTTGGGCATCTTAATTATATCATATGACAGATGTGTCAGTGAAGAGGCAATGTTAATGTGACCCATCAAAGACTGAAACAAGCTTCTTCAAAACACAGCATTTTCCCACTGAAACATCTCAGGCTGATTCAGTCTAGTCATCTAAGGACAGACAGTGCTAAAAAGCATTCTGGAAGGCATTCTGGAGGAAGAAGACATTCACAACTCCCAGAAGATACCATTTCTGGTGAACTCTATGACTCACAGAGAAATCCTTCTGGTTTCTGACCTCTTTACTAAACACAGCTAGCATGCTGACGCAGAGGTAATGTACTCCTGGGCATACCTACACTTCCTTCCAGGCACCTCTTGCTCTCTGCCAAGAGTTATCCTGCAGTGTAATGGAACTATATCAAAAACACCTTCCTTTTTAGGTCAAAAGTGTAGTATACTGACAGTAAGCTTCCTTCAGCACTTGGTATACCACAAATAGAAGGAAAAGAACCATTTTTGTTGGTTACAGATTTGCATAAAGCCTCAGTGCACACTTCCTTTACAGACCAGCCTCCCAAACATTCATTCCCACTCAGAGAAATCACTCTCAGGAATCACTCACTTCCATCCAGTCTGTATTTGCCTGGCTTTGGCTGCATGGATGACATGCTGGTGATGCAAAGATCACTCCTCTCCCAGCCTATAAGCTTTAATCATGTTCATAGCCCTCTAGTAGAGGTTTTTGGTATAAAGTCTATGTAAAACACTTACTGTGTTTCTTCTGGCATCCTGAAGAGCAATTTTCCATGCCCTGTCAAAAAAATAAAAAATGTTTAGTGGAACACAGATAAAAATTAATGGCACTTTTTCTTCTTAGTATTACAAAGAAAACTATGTTAGGAATTAGAGGTAATGCAGGAGCAGAGTTTCAGATACTCCATGTGTCAAAGCCTAATGATACAGTAAAATGAATGCACCAAAGCGTTGCACCAAGATTGAAAAATAATTATTTCCTTAGCAGAGCTGAGATGGAGTGAGAAGGAACAAGAAAAGGACCGTGACAAGGAACACATCTGAAGGCCTTCACTGCAAGCCCAACAGGCAAGTGATATGCAGCTATGCTTGGGACAAAATAATGGGAAGAGATGCACCAGAAAAGTTGTATCCCCTTCCTGAAGAGTTGCATCTGCTGACTGAAGAGCACAGCAGCTTGAACAGAAGGCACAGGCACTTCATGCAGACACTCCCATGCTGTATGGCTGACAGTGTGCCCTATAACCACGCGTACTTGGCAAACACTGCTGGTAGATGTTATCCAACTAAACACAGCCAAGGTCACAGCACTGGAGTACAATTCTTTTTAATGACTGAGACGTCCTTGGGCTACAGAGGGTCATGGGCTACTTTAAGAAGGAGAGAAGTGAAAATAAAATCTATTCAGAATATTCTGCATTAGCTGTATTACTAAGATGCTTCTACTCCTCTCAGCCTCCAGTGCTTCCAGTGAATAAACTTGCAGGTAGTTTGCAAGAACTGCATCTATGTGAGTTAGACAGCTCATAGAAGAGCTATCTTTTTTGTAACTGAAATCCTGCTTGAGAATTTTCTTGAAATATGTCTCTGAAAATCTGAAGGAAGGATGGTAAGTAAGGGGAGGGAAAAAAAAGATAATAGAGGAAAAAGTAGCAAAAATGATATTATTTGGCAGACTTACAAACAGTCATCTGCACTTTCTGCACAGAGGTTGATGGTCTTACCATCCCGACAAACAATCTGCAGTAAACAGTCTCTCTGCTTTCCCTCCGGAGGCTGGAAATCTGAGTTGGGGAAAAAAAAAGGAGATAAGAAGAATCTATAACCAGAACTTCACGATCCTGTTTACAAGAAGGGCGATAGCTTATGCAAAACTCTGGACAAAATAAACTGTGGCCAATTGTAGCTGCTTTCCATGACATGAAAACAACTTAAACTAGGACGTAACCTGCTCTCTTCAGAATATGTCCTGAAGCTAACTAGCTCTGAACATCACTCTTAATACATGCAAATGTCTTACAGCAGAACCAATCTGTACCTAGCTGTAAGTACTTGGGGAGTACTTCTGTCCTTTACTGATGCACATCAAGGGGAGTATTGATAAATGACAGAGGTGAACTTTGTAACGCTTGAGAAAAATCTGCTCAGGTTTCCCATTTTGCATCCCAACTCTCCCTCCAGCCAGCACTGTAATTTCACCAGTAATGCTCTATGATCAAACACACAACCCTACTGCAAACATCCTGGTCTCTCATGCAAACCTGCCACCCGCAGGTACACTGTAAGGTACACTGTCCTCATTGAGTTGTAAAAGGAAGAATTGAGCACTAACCTAACCTATCACGTGGTGATATCACCCCACAAACACATGTCAGGCAATTATATCATAGTTGGAGAGTTCTTGTGGGTTTTTTTTTTTTCATTTTAGAACAATAAAGCTGCACACCTTGTAGGCATGTTTACTTCTGCGCAAGTAGTGCTGTAATTGGTGTGCTGGGCAGACACTGATGTTCTGAATCTCTCAGTACACAAATTCCAAAGGTCTCAGTGTTACCTCGACATTCATTCCCCACTCTGAGGTTGATGCAATGGATTCTCATGTGGATTTTATCTTCTATATCATGGCGATTCTGATCGTCATAGAATATCAAACGGCCATCAGACCACAGGTCAAACCAGTTCTTCTTCCAGCGCCGCAAAATAGTGCCTTTAAAATCAAACAGTCGCTTTTGAAGGCATATATTAGAAGGTATTTGTGTCTTGAAGTTAATAAAACCAAAATATCCTTCCCAGTTGCCCCAGAGGACAAAGGCACTCTCAGGCTCCAGGCAAAATCTTGTCCTACCACATTCCTGCTTTAGAATGTTACAGAATTGGGTTCCGTATTCCATCTATTACTCCAAGTTGCAACTGAGTGTATCTTAAGGGCATAACCTGGTGCTTTAATTCTGTCCCACTGCAAGAACAAGCAGAAGGCATAACTAACCGAAGACATTAATGTAAAGTGTCAGGCAAAGTTTCCAAGTCTCCACTTACTTAACACTAATTACAGAACAGCATCTGAAGCAGGGCAGTCGGACACTTGAGCTGTGATACAGTTTCCCACTAGTACACCCAAAGGTAACATGGAAATGCTGCCATGATAGGTCCCTTTGTGAAGTGTCCTATAGTCAAAAAACAAGGACAACAACTCGCAGACATAGAGATCTGTTTGAGAAATAACACCTGGGAATGGCTGAGCTGCTGCAGTGTTGTCTGAAGGAGTCAGACACAGCAGGGAGAAAAAGGGGAGAGCCCCATGACTTACTTTGACGAAGCAGCCAGCCACTCTTCACAAACGCCATTGTTGCTTAATCTGGTGGACAGAAGAGGAAGGAGAGGAAGCAGTCATCAGTATTTCACAGCAGCACATTAGAAAGAGGCATGTCAAGTTAGAATACCACACTGCACTCCGCTGGTACTGCAGGCAGAGAAGCCAGATATCAACTGAAGATCCTCACTAAGGCCCAATTAGTGTTCTAGATCCTAGCAAGTGGAACAAATGTTCAATCTGATGTGACTGTCAGAGACACATCAGTTAAAGTGGGAAAAGCACAAGTTTACAAACAAACAACACAAAATGGGGAAGAGTCAGGCCTGCGACCCTGACTCACCACCGGTTCCATTACAGATTGTTTCATTGACATACATGTGCTCCTTTTATCCTGCAGTCTCCCGTTACCAAACACTCTCCCTCCCTTTTTCTGTACTTCCCCTTCTAATTTTTGTTTTTCATTCACTGATTCAAAGTCCAGCCAAAACAAAAGCTGAAAGAGTTTAACCTTGAACAGGAAGGAGAAAGCTGTTTTTATGACTTGTATGCCTTCCAAATTGTTACCAGCTCCCTCCAAGATGAATTTAAATAAGTAAAAGTTAAGCCCATAAAGTGACATTTTCATTTCTGCTCAGTCTTTAAATGAAGCTCGAAATGGCCTGGGAAAGATCCACATGAAATCCAAGCTATCACACCTGACATTCAGCATTCTGCCACTGTCCTCCAGTGTGCGAGCAAGCCAAAGGAAGCAGACCAAACATCGAATATACTGGAGGAAAAGCTTTATTTTTTAGCATAGTGGTGTTCTAGGGGGAACTCAGGGAAACACAACTATCTGGACAGAACTAGAACAACAAGGACACAAGCACTTTTTGGCCCTGGCATTTTCTGGAAATTACTAGAGGGGCCTAAAGCCAAAAGGAGAGGCAGATGCTTAAACCTGCCATGTAACACTGCTCTTGTAGCAGCATGAGGTTTGACAGCCACAGGAACTCCTTCCAGGTCAGGGATGTGTTTGAAGTCAGAAACTTACAAAAAATATGGCTGCTGACTGTTTTTTATAGGCATTTCAACCTTGTTACAGCACCTATTATCAGATCTGGCAGGGTAAAATTTACCTCCTCTGAGCTGGTGCAGTGTTGACTCTGTGCTTTTTAAGCTCCAGATGTCCTTATCTAGGAGCAAAAACTTTCCCAAGAGAATGTAAAGGAAACTCCTTTGCTGAGGAGTTTACATTGTTTGCTGAAAGCCCTGAATTTAAGGACAAAGTATCACTCTTGCTAGGCAAAGACTTTAGCATACAACTAAAGGCAATGGCCGGCAGGATTTCGTACTGAAGGAATGCTGTGTGCAGCACAGGCTGCTGTGTAATAGTGAGAATCACCTGTAGCTAAGGTTGAAACTCCAATGCAAACATTTTAGTATTGTTTTTTGTATCAGCTTGCTGGGAAAACAAACATTCAGCTGACAGCCCGATGAAAAGGAGCATGAAACTCCTGTCCTGCTGGAATCCTGGTCCTGCTCAGAGCATCCTGCTGTCACTGGGCTACAGAAGGGGGGTTTCTGAAACTGGGGCCAATTTATTCCTCCATGTAGACAAAGGCCCTGAGCTTCTTCCTTTTGCTGCTCCAATAAGTGCTCCCCTACATTTCCCTCAGAAGGAATCTCTCTTCTTGCACATCCTTTTCCCAGGAATGGAAGCACTCTACTGGTGCTTCCACATCTTCCAGGTGAAATCCCTGTGAATCTGCAGAGGCCTTTTAATAGTGTAAGAGCCCATAAAGCACTTGCACAAACTTCCGTTCAGTTGCAAGAGCTAGATTAGACTACAGAACGTTTGACGCTGCCTTTAAACCTACTCTGTTACACAACAGCAAAATCAGACACAACTTAGAAAAGGAGGAAGAAATGAAGAAAAGCTGTCTCTTGACAAACTGAAGATCACAGAGGGCCTGACAACCCAAGTCTCACATTGCAGGCCATCTCACACTTAGCGTGGGCTCCAGCACCAAAGAGGCCTCCAGCTGTACTGCACCCCACGTGTAATCTCAGAGGCACAGACTGCATTTTCCCAACACAGAATTTCAGTGCCCCAAAATTCTGCTCCAGATAGAGGGCAATGAGTGATACAGAGCATTCTGTCAGCACTGAAGTAGGAGGTGCAAAATCAGTTTGATATTCTTGTCTGATCCTTTTTAAGTGCAAGCACTGACTTGAGAGTGCAATGCAGTGTTACACTGAGCCCACACCATGTCTAGCAGAGTGTTCCCAGAGCTAGCGGGGAGCTGTGGCAGATAAGCAGCAGCTGTGCAGTATCTGCTTGTGAAGACAGCTTCGTGTGACCAGCACGGGAAGTGGCCATTGAACACAGATAAGTCAGGGTTTTGTATCATCAATCTCGAGAGAAGTTTGTCGGTGACTGAAGCCTAAAGGCAAGAACGCCCTCCATGGAGCACAAGGGCAAACACGGTAGAGGTGCGGGGCCGCTCCCCGCCGCTCCCTCACACCGAACACGGCACGGAACGTCCAACCAGGGATTCCAGTCGCCCTCTCGCTAGCTGGCTGACAGAAAAAGCCAGCCGCGAACCCAGCTTAGGCCGCGGTGCAGCTCGCCATTGCTGCGGGCGCCGGATGCAGCCGTCAGAGCGCGGATCCGCGCACGGAGCTGCCGCGCTCCGCGGTGCAGGGCTGCCGCCGCCTTCCCACCGCACAGCTGCAGACGCACAGCCTCGGGCTCGGCGGCGTTCAGGCCTCACCCGACTGATCCTCCCCTTTAAAAACAACCAAGCCTTCTACGTCAGGAACTTCTCGACTCCGCACCTAGCGAACCTTTCTCCCTTCTCCCGCGAGCCGCGCTCGTTTTTCCTACCGCAAGCCGCGCGGCTCCCATCGGCACTGGCTCGGGGCCGGCGGGCGCTGCGGGGAGGGCCGCACACCGCAGCCCCGCGCCGCCCGGCGGAGCGCCCCGCCTCCCCGCCGCGCACCCGGCAGCCCCGGGCCCCCGAGCCCC